ATATTTTTTCATATCTTTTAATATCTTTCAATATTTTTCAATATCTTTTTATATCTTTTAATATCTTTTCATATCTTTTAATATCTTTTAATATCCTTTTATATCTTTTAATATTTTTCAATATTCTTTAATATCTTTTGACATCTTTTGATATATATATTTCCTAAATATTAATATTATAGTATTTTAGTTATAATATATATATTAGATAGTATTAATTAATAATACTATAATAATTTATATATTCAAAAATATATAAAAGAATCTGTTATTCTAGCTTGAAATATAGTTTTGAATTAAATTATTTCAAAAATATAATTAAAAAATATATTATTATAATAATAATAATCTTTTTAAAAGATTTCTTTTTTAATTATACTAGTACTCTTTCTTTTATTTAGTTTTATTTTTTTAATTATACAAAGTTAATTTTTGATTTTTGAATTATAATATTATATTAATTTTTGATTTTTGATATTTTGATATTATTTTAAGAGTAGAAGATTTCTACTATAAATAAGTCATACTTTTTGTTTTATTATTTTGAGAGTAAAAGACCTTTAATTATTTAGTTTTTATATTTTAGTTTTTATCTTTCTTTAGTTATAGTTTTCTTTAATTAATAGTAGTTTTACTATTTAATTATCTTAAATCTTGAATTATATTAATTATTAGTGACTTTACTAAGCTGATCTTTATAATTTCTCTAATTTATTTTATTTTTTCTTTAATATTTTATTCTTTATTAAAATAATATTCATAAATATTGATATAGATCTTAAAAATCTTTATTATTATTAAAAATATAGTCTAATTTCTCTCTTTTTATTCTTTAATTATTTTTATCTCTCCTAATACTATATTATTAAGATTAATAATAGGAGCTGCAACTAGTTGTAACTTGTCATAATTCTCTGATTGGCTACTGTAACTCTGTTATAATTCTCTGATTGGCTACTGTAAGCCATAATTAGTTGAGAAGCCATCTTTAATTAAGATAAATTCAAGTAAAAATCCACTTACTAATTTACTATAACATATTTTTAATATCTTCTTTATGAAAATAAATTTTCTGGAGATTTCTTATTATTTGAATACTTTTTATATATCTTTTTATATCTCTTTCTTTTGTTATCTATAATTGATAAATATTTGTATCTTGAGTTTTCATAACTAATTATTATTCTTTTATTAAACTACTTATTAACTATTATCTTAAAGTATATAAAAACTCTAATTTTATTATTAGAATATCTGTTCAAGACTTTTATCTCTATTATTATCTCCTTCAATCAAATTTTTCTTTATAATTTTATATACTTCATTTACTTACTGAAAATATTAGAGCAGTATCAATTAATCAAGTCATGTATTTATTATTTTAAGAATTATTTTAACTTGATCTTAATAAAATATATATTAGTTAATTAAGACAAAGAATAGTATAACTAGTAAATATCTTTATATTTAATCATATTAATACTTAAAAAGAATAACTTGATTTAATTGAATAATTTTACTAATAATTTATCTATTAAGACTTTATCTTTTAATCAAGAATCTCTTCTGTTAATAGTAATATTAACAGATACTATTCTAAAACCAAGAATTCAGAAGACATTTCTATTTTCCCAGTATAAGTTATATTAACTTTAAATCAGAAGAAAATAATAACTTTTCAAATTCAAAAAAAAATATTCAGACAGACTTGAAAGATAATAAGCAAACAGAAAAAAAGATAATTAAATAACTTAATCAAATAACTTGAATAATCTTATTACAGTTCTTGAAGCTCTTATCAATTATATAGCTAATCAAAATAACTGGTTTATAAAGAAAATTATAATATCTATTAGAAAATACAGAGAAAATAATCAAGATCTAACTGAGTAACTGAAAGACTTTAATATCACTACACAAGTTAATAGAATTACAAATGCAAGAAAAGTATAATTAGTCAAAGGATACTTAGAAAATACTACTATCTTGTAATATGATAAAAGAGAAAGAAATAATGACACCAAACTAATCACTTGGAATAATAATCAAGATTTGTCTTACAGCTTTTATCATCAATTTGCTATACACTTTCAGATCAGAAAATAAATTGATCAATAGCAAGATAAAATTGAAATCTTGCAATAGACCAGTACTATAAAAGAATATATAGTTAAATTTATTAATTTACTTCATAAAGTAAATTCTGATAATGAATATCCAGAAGAATACAAGATCTATACTTACAGAAGAGGACTCAAATTAGAGATTAGAAAATAAATACAAATCTTAACTGATGGAACTTTTCTAAATATAGTTCAAGTCACAAAAAATATAAAGAAAACAGATACAGATATATTAATCCATGAATATTATTAATCTCAAATCCAAGATAACTTAATACTAAATGCTATTTTGATAGTACTTTAAGATTTTAATCAGCAAATAGAAAGTATTAAAATTAATAAAGGATTTAATTATAATAGAAATAACTCTGAATATAGATCTAATAACCAAAACTCTAAACCAGTTTCTACCTGCTATAATTATGATAAGTCAGGTCATATCCATTCTAATTGTTCTCAACTATAATTATATCAAAATAACCAAAATAACTTTGGAAATAATTATCAAATAACTAATAGAAATAATCAGCAACAAAATAATATGCTATTAAATCAGGCAAATATTAGTAATAGTTAGAATATCAATAATAATTAAAACATATTATTAGCTCAAATATAGACTCTTATTGATAGTATTTAGATATTAACTGCCAAACCAGATAATGTAAATTTGCTACTTGATATACATAAATATTTGACTGCTGAAGGAAAGTATAAAAATTTCAGAACTATTCCTTATAGAACCAGATCTGTAAGTTGATCCTGTAAAGAAGCAGTTGATAAAAATGAAGAACCAAATGATAATGAAGAAGAAGAACAAGAAGATACTCCTGAAATTATTCTTGATTAGGATATGAATAATACTGAATCATTTAAAATCCTTGAAAAAGAACTCACCAAGAAAACTATTTGCAAGAAGAAAAGCAAAGTTGCCTTACCTGTACTTGCTACCATGGCTGAACCATATGATATTCTAGAAGATTTGGCTCAACAAAAAGCAAATATAACTGTTGCTCAACTTATTCAAACCTTGTCTTCATAAAGAACTCAGCTATTAAAAGAAATGTGCTGAGCTACAATGCTCAAGTCTAAAAGAAAAAGAAGAGTATTGCTTAGACAAAAACTCAAAACCACATAATAATTTAATTACCGTATCCTCCTGAAAATAAGCACCCCTGTGATGTTACCTTTTTTAGTAATTTTCTTATTTATCACCTATATTTTGTTATATTAACTTGTTGCATACATATAATAAAAGTATTATTTGTCATGGGAAAAATTATTCGTTAAAAGATTTTATTTATTGAAAACTTATTATAATATTCTTGTAGTGTATTCTATGAATATTATCTTGAATCCCTAAAAACAGATCATATTGAGATTTCAATTGCCACATACGTAAATGATATCAAAGTTGTACAAACAAACAAACAAAAAGCATACATATGTACTTCCTGCTTGTTTCGGTTTTTCTCGGGATAGATGCTTTTTCATTTAGTTTTAGTTTTTCGATCTGTTTCCTTAAAAAGTAAATGGCGAATGTGTTGCTAGATTGTTTATTCTTCCTAGTAGTTATTAAGCATAGAATGAATAATAATTACGATCCTCGATTTGTAAAGAAACTTTTAACATGTTACTTCTTTTAACTCTTGGACAGCAAATTTGGTGTCAACTTAAAAAATGAAATTTCGGTCTTAAAACTCGTATGGAACAGAGTAAGATGAACAGACATTATGCCGATGACGCATTCCTATTGACAGTAAAACAAAAAACGCCCACTTGAAATGTCAGGTGCTCACGTTATTGATGCAAGAGTTTGGTTGTAGATAAACAATAATGACTAATTCAATTCACCCTGCATATACAAAGTTTGTTAAATAAACAAACAAACTCCCTATGATCATCGTCGCATCTACACAAACCAATATGATTAGAACGAAAAGCAACAACAAAATACAACACTTACGTTGGCTTTCGAGTAAAAATTGCAGGAAGGCAAGTTTTATATATAATTCTATCTCTAGTTCCAACCCTAATCAAAATCCTAATTTTAAAAACATCCTTTCACCGAGTTTTATTATAGAGCGATTTTTTTCGGATATACCAACCATATTGGATGAATTTAAACTATGGAATAGAGATGCGCAAATTTTTAACCAGCCCAACACAAAACAAAAATGCGAAATACGTACCTAAATCATATAATCTTAGTTCTAACTCTGATCTTATGATCATACAAAAATTAACCTAACCGAAATGGGTTGGAAGATGTCCATTATATTGTCCAATGAAAAGTGAGTATACACGCATTCATTTTTCACAACAGCAAAACGTGATGGTGATAAAAGGTCAAATCTCTACTGCCAAGGGGAAGGTCAAGCACTGTAGAGATGCCCAAATTTAATATGTTGCAGGAAGTAAATGTCCGCAACTCCTCTTCATAGAATTTTCGTTCGTGCACGTGTCGTATTAATTAGTAATGAGGTAAACTTTCTTATTTTACTAAACAGATCTATTATGCGTCGCTTCAAATTAATGCACATATAAAATTTTGTATTTTAGAATTATGATAATTATTAGTAAACCTATTATATCTAATGAGTTTACTGTAATTAGTATCCATTGAATGTCAGGGATGCGTATTTTCGGAGGTATACGGCATCTAAAATAAAAATAATATCGTTATCTCTGATGCAAATCGTGTCGAACCTTGTTCCTTATGGTTTCTTTCTTTCATTAACAGTACTAATTTTGTCTAATATAAAAATATATTATTAAATCTAAATAATAACTAGCTTGATTTGATTATAAAAGCGACTTCGAATTCGCAAAAAAAAAAAAGGCAAAAAAACTTATACTATATATTAAACATCAAAAATGAACCCAAATGCAAACCAAGAGAATTTTCTCTTCACCGATAATAATCGTAATTTGCTACGTTATTCTTATTTGATCGGTGAAGTCATTACTCGATTTGATGAATTATATCAAACGGAACAACAAAATAATGTATCTACAGACGTTTGGTCCATTTTCAACGAGGGATCAACCCTTCCTATAGAAAATGAAGAAAACGTTTTTCGCGATATCTCAAGAATAGAAGTTGAGCCAATTGAATCCAATTTACAGCATAATCCCTCGGTCAATAATGAAGTGCCACAGGGTGACCAAGAGAATTTTCGCTTTAATAATCATCATAACTTGCTACGTTATTTTTATTCGGTCGATGAGGTTACTAATCGTCTTGAGGAATTGCATTATATTGAACAACAGAATAATGAATCCATTAACATTTGGTCCGATTTCATCGGAGGATCCGACCTCGCTATAGTAAATGAGGAAAACGTTTTGCTTGATTTAGATCGTAGCTTCAATTCCGATATCCCTTTGATTCCGATATCCTAATGAAGTTGTGTCCGATTTACAACCTAATCCCCCGACCAATAAATGAAATGAATATATCCCTACACTATTATTTCCTCATATGCTCTACTTATATTTGTCTTTATTTTTATTCGATTGGTTTATAATATTTTAAACTATAGTTTCTGCCACTCCTATATAAAGTGCTATTTTTCCTAAATTTGTTAAATTCTCTCTATTTTTCTTAGATTCATTCTGTTTTCTTAGATTCGTTCTGTCTCTCTTAGATTTGTTCTGCTTCTGTCACTCGTATATATTATCTAATTATGGTTGATACAGTAAACTTATATAACTTTCAAATTGATTAGAAATGAACATGGAATTTTATGAAACTTAAAAAGCATTAATTAATACAAGTGTAAAGAAGCACAGATGAGCTCGAATCAATCATTTAGTCTGTCTCGAAAGATTCAGATATCAATATATCAGCAAAGCAACTTAAAAAAGAAAAGAATTTAAGATATAGTGACATTTATTTTTTTTTTGTTTCTACAAAGTTCGTAAGTGCAGTGAGATTAATTATTTTCGAATCTCAATCAAAGCATGTCCTTTGTACAAACAATGACAAGCAAATCACTCGTCTTATTAAGCTTAATTCAATACATACAATAATCACATTGTCTTCGCAAATATATTTGTTTTTATCTTGTTTCAGCGTTAGAAAATCAACATGATAAATTAAACTTTTAGGGAGAGTGATTACCTCATTCTGCATTGTTATATAATACGCAGTGCGATATCTCGATACCTGATGATTAGAATCGCACTATTCGATTCGATGTGGTATTGTCACATGATTTCGATCATCGCTGTTTTAAGGATAATATCGGCATCACGTGAAAATGCCATCATTCGGTATGACGGACGCTAGTTATCACTTTTTTTCTAATTGCCCTCTGCATCATAATTACATGTATCATTTAAAATATTATACAAAAAATGGTTATTTTTTTCTTTTACTATTTATTGTAATATTTTTTTGCTAAAATTACTCAGAAATGAATTTGCTTTTCAGCCATTGTAAATATATTAATTATCTGTAAAAAGTTTTCTAATAACAATTTTAACTGCGTCATAATACTCTAATCTACCTTATATATCTCGGATATTAGATCACATGTCACTTCTCTTATCGAATGCTCAAACCTTTAAAGAAACAATGATATTTGTAGCCTGCATTCTTTTGAATTTGTCCCTTGGTACCGATATTTCCAGAAAGTTTTGATGATAAACTGATGATTACTATTCAAAAGTGGTGACGAGGATGTCATTGACAAAAAAGTCGGTCTATTGAGACTGATGCTTGATATTATACATGTAATCCAATTATTTTATTCGGTATCCATAATACGACCACACTTATTCTTAATTTAAAAAGCAATACGGTCCAGAGACAAAATATTTAATTTAATGTATAAAAATATTTTAAAACTTATTTGTTAATATCAATAACGCAATTTGGAAACGATTATCGATTTCGGTGCTATATCAAAGTGGTTTTTATAACTGAAAACGAGCTATTGTTACTTTGAAAAAGCGATGAAAAGCGATACGAAGGAATATCGAGATATAGCAAGATTTGCACGTAATAAAAACGATGAATAAAGGAGATGAGTTTTAAACAAATTGCCACTTGATTTCTAATAAATTATAGAGTTGCAAATCGAATTTAATATAAATTCGAATTGGATATCGCATTCGGTTGTAATTCGATTTTATTAAAATCGGATTAATTCTGATTCTTGGTTAATACATAAATTTGATTATTCGAATTTAAATAAACATACAGTTACGAAATAGATTCATAAGGGTTAGCATGTTCTCCTGACTCTTAAATGACAGGAAGTTGTCGGAGAACAATTCACAGGTGTAAAAGCTTCCCAAGCATCATGAAAAAGCTCAAGACTACTCTGAAAAGTATATGTAATACAACATGATGACAATCATGACAACAATCACGACGATGACCATAGTACCCTAGGAGTACCTCTAGCCATGGCGAAAAAAATCTTCGGTTCATGTGATTTTTTGAGGGGTAAACCAATCAATCGCAAGATCAATGTGTAACGGAAAAATTCAAAGCAAGCGTTAATTTTTGAAAAATAGCTTGTATCTCGAAATTTTGTCTATGAAACCACTTTTTGTGTTATAAAAAAAATATTTCTTGCGAAATTTTACTATAGGTAATTGTAATGCGTACCAGATACAATATAATCTTAACTTTAACTCTAACCCTAACCTAACGAAATGTCATGTCTTGCGATTTGATTGGTTTACCCCTGAATTAACACGTAACAGTCACTTTTCTTTGCCATGTCTAAAGACCACGACGGCTGATGACGCATATTGATCCTAACCAGTTAAGCATTAGCACAGAAATGATTCATGCTCACAAATATCTCTATATACATGTATATGTTGTATAACGATTATCTCGTCTCGATTGTTTTACTATTGATATAATTTCAAGCATATATCAATATAGATACCTTTTATAAAGTGAATTCAAAGATGAAGTCGAATACTTATGAGTTTATCAAAAAGATAGTTCACAATACTCATGATTGTAGTGAATGTTATTGTTGTCAAAGAAATGGGAACTGCTCTGAATGTTTTCGAATTTATAATGATAAATTATTTAGTGAAGACAAAGATATCGACAACCTAATAAAAGAATGTTAAAAATTAATAAATTATTCGAATGAATTCCTTTGAGAAGGTTTACCAATGCTGAATAGTTTGCAAAGAGAGTTTGGACAATTTATAAAACAACATATTGGATGGATATTGGAATCATGAAGAAAGCATATTTAAAAATAGAAGTCGTGTTAAAAATAGTACACACATTAATCCAGGGTTAAAAAGAATTTCTAAAGCAAAAATTGCCTTTTGTATTCCGATACGATCAAATTTTTCAAAAACGGATTCAGACTGCTCTTAGATGATGGAAGTGTTCATATTTATTATTATGGAATAACTAAAAATCCAATTTCAAATGAATACTCAATTATGGATTAGCTGAAATTAATTCGAATTTAAAAAAAACTGAATTTAAATAAAATCTAATTAAATTCGAATTTAAAAAATGAAATTCAAAAACATTAATACAATCTTTAATGAATATATTTATTAAAAATGGCAAGAATTATTATATGTCTAATTATTAAAGAGAAAATATAATAATGTAGATAAGTCGACTGTAAACTCATAACCGGATTTAATTCGAACCGAATTTAAATTAGAATACCGATTCCAAATTGCATCACTAATTTATTACAAACATCATTTTAAAAATACCTAATATTTGGCTTATAAATGAAAATCAACTTTCAAATTCATATGTCTTTTATGATGTCAAAATTTTCCGTTGAATAAAATTTGACAATTTTATTAGTAAACAACAAACTTTCTCTAAACTCTGTTATCAAATTCTTGATTCAAAACATAATTTGTATAATCTAAATATTGTCATTTCCTTCAGTGCTGGTCGCTTTTCATTATCATCTCGTTATCATGTTTCAGGATCCATAAAACAGCTATAACGCGAGTCGAAGAAAGATACATCACGAATTTGCTAGGAATTCTACATAATTAGAGAGAGAAACCATCCTCTTACCATATCATATTATTGTGAAACCAAGATATAAATACGGCGCGAAATATCAAAATGATTTTGTGCGAATGCGTTAAAATGGAGGAATTAAGAATAGTGACACATGAAAACAATCGTCAGTTTTTGAGGATCAGTTTTTATTGAACCAAAATTCAAATTTCCTAATTTGAATTCTGAATTTTCATTACGTCAGGGTAAGGTAAGGTATTGGGTGAAGTAACGAGATGATATGTAAAATTACCTTCTCAATCTTTTTAATTAATAGGCCAAGATAGGTTTTTACATCAGTTTTCACTTCTTTCATCTCTTTAAATCGGATTTGGTTTGCCGGGTCTATCAAAAACTTTCACATTCGAATTACAGATCGTTTTCGTAAGTATCCATGTACTTGTTTCGGTTTCCGTCGCTTATATCACAATAGATGCACTTACATTTGTATTGATACTTGAAAAAGTAAATGAAGTTAAAATTGTTCAGAGATGATCTATTTTCTTAAGGAACTTATTCTCGCACATTGTAAAATACTGTCGTAATCATTTTGCATAATTACTATATATCAATAGCAAGCAGCTCTATAAAGATACCTGGGGTTTATTTCCTAAAATGAAAATCTAAAACTTTTTATAAATCTGATCTATAAGATACAGTACATGTATTACATATATATCAGAACACAAGATTAATATCATGTGATACGATAACGATCGAGCAATGAATTGATTCTTTCTTTATCAATAACAAATTTTATTACTTAGTATGCATTAGCCATAATTCTCAAATCGTTCCAATAAATCTAAAGAGAAAAATTTGCTATGCTCTCATAAGGAACCTATTATAATACTTGAATTTATAAGTCTATAACATGTATGGTGACAATTATAATTCGAAACATGTTCAAGAATAGTTTATTTATTGATAAAAAATTCATGGGTAGATATTAGTAATTAGAATAAATTATAATAAATATATTATTTTAATAAAGGGACATTTATTATGTTATAAAATAAACTTAATGGAGCATTCCTTTATAAATTAGTTGAAAATTTCGCTAATATCACTCACCAAATTCAAAAATCTTGGGTATACATGTATTAAAAGAAGCAAAAGAAAATATACATAGAAACTTTATCAACGGTATATCAAAAATGTACGTTTATATTATCCAATTATTAGTCGAATCTATCTCACATTCTTTTTTAAATTAAATCAAGGCTTGAAAATATAGATTTAAGTGACGCGGATTCTAATAACGAAAAAAGCGGAGATGAATTGCCAATAGAATTTCAATCGGATGAATTCCGTATCGAATCGCAAATTATCATGATTGCGGAAACTTTAGGACCAACTTTGCATGGTGCTACTCTTGTGAAACTACCTGGTTTAGGGACAACTATTCAAATTGGACAACTGGCACTCTCGGGAGTGGACCAATAAAAGTCGCGTTGAAAAATCTTCAAAACTTGAGCAAACAATTCTTGGGAAAATGTAAATTGCTATTTCTTATTTGATAAAAATAAATTATATGAATTATTGACAAAAATATTTTCTTTTATTATTTTAGCTACGGAAATATCAATATTGTCTCCAATCGGATAGTGTGGCAGATACATTTGGCATTACGAAAGATCCAAACGGGTCTTTTATATTTTTAATGAGATTTTATGAGAATGACAATTTGAATCAATACATCAAAAATAAGAATATTAACTAGAAAGATAAAATTGATTTATTATGGGGAATTGTACTGCTGACTTGGAAAATCTTCATCGATATGGTCTCTATCATGGAAATTTACACGGTGGAAATATAATGATTGAAGATGAATCAATCTCGAATAACGGAAGGATAGCTGATATAAGAGGAATGCATGGACCAGCTGAGATTCCAACTGATAAATAATATGGTGTTCTTTCTTATATCTCACCGGAAATTCTTCTTGGAGTAAAACAATCAAAAGAAGCTGATATTTATATTTCGCGTTATTATGTGGTCATTTGCAACTGGACAAAAACCATTTGCTGAGAAAGCGCATGATGTCTCATTAGAAATGGATGTTTGTAATAGGATAAGACCAAAGGAAATTGAAAATGCGCCGAAATGTTTTTCTGATTTGATGAAAAGATGTTGGGCATTTGATACAAAATTAAGACCAACAGCATTCGAACTGAATGAAACATTTATCGATTGGATGACTGATATATATGAGAATCCAGCACCGACTGAAATTAGTGAGGAATTTAATAACGCTGAAGAAAGAAGACGTGAGGTTTTTCAAACACAGAAAAACAGCATCTCAAGAAATTCATAAAGATGCGTTTTATATAGGTCGATCTTTTGATTTTCCAGAACTTAGAATTAATGAGACAAAACGAAATTTTAAATACATATTTATATAAGCATTTTATTATTTAAAGTAATTTTGTTAGGTGCTCAAAAGATAATTATATTTCACAAAAATTTTGCCTGTTCATTCATTCCTTTCTTCAGTTATTCGTTTTATTCTAATAATTATATTTTTTTGTCACGTATCCATATTATATTCAGTTATGTTCTTTATCATATTCATTTTATTTTTTTGCCATTTCGTCGTTATTATTGTTCATATTATATGCATGTTATCTTTCGTCATGCATTTCGTATTCATCGTCTTTCGGCCATCCATTCTCTTAATCATATATATTATGTTATTTCGCATGTATTAGTTCTATTTTTTATATTCACTAATACGCTTTGTTCTATTTTTATTATATTTTATGTACATGTATCTTATTTATTTTTACATTCATATTCTTTCGTCATATACATGTACATGTACTTCGTTCTGTTCTCGTCAATTAGATAAAAAATTTAGCTAGATTCATTCTTACTTAATTTTTTGACTTTATTTGTTATTTTTTCCGACATTCGTCATTATTTCGTTCTATTTTATATTCATTCATGCTTTTCTCGTCCTGTATTTTGTTCTGCCTCATTTATTTTAGCAAGCTGAAATACTATATTCTTTTGACTTAGTCAAATTAACATAGCAAATTAGTCACTATATGTTTTTTAATTACTTCTAGTGCTAACTTGTAAATGACATGAAACAATTGCTCCGTAAATATTTTATTCACAAGGAGGTGAACGTTTATGATTTTGTACACTAGCGCTAGGCGTATTACATGATCATCATCCCATTTTCAATCATTTATTAGGATCCTTATCCTGCCCATGTGTCATTATCAGGCGTAAATGCGCTTGTTTTGGTAATACGGCGGATGCATTTTATTTAGCGTTAGTTTTTCTATTGACTCTAAGTATTGCTAAAGATGTTAAATTTTAAGAAAATGATTAATGATTTGTAAACTTTAACTTGTAACTTCTCTTTTTTATCTTGGACAGCAAATTTTCCGTCAACTTAAAAAATGAAATACACAAAACCTTCGTGCATTTAGGGATGTGAGCAAAGTATATAGAACTTGCATGCATTATGGAAAGTTTATTTGATGCGATTAAACAGAATTTCTAGTATTCAGTGAAAAAATAGGATGTGCGCGTCACAAAAAAATAGTGCGATAATCGCACATCATTTTTCGTATAATAATTAATAATAATGTGCGCTATATACATGTATAATACGTTGTAAGTATATTCGAAATAAATAATTTCAGAAAAACCAATAAATTTATAAATAATAAAGATGCATATACATAAAATTTGAAATTAGATGTGCAAAGCGCACTTAATTTCGAAATGTGTTTTTACACCGGTAATCATGTAGAGCCTTAAATGATGCAAAATTAAGCATTTTATTGGTTATATATGTTACTGTTAATATTATATCAAAATAATATTAGGTAATAAAGGCCAGCACACTTATCCAATTTTCTTAATCCTATGTATTTTTTTGTTGATGAAATAGTTGATCCAACAAGTGAAGCCAAGGTAGCCGCATTGGAGTATTTAGCGAAACATCTTGGAGATCATGTAGAAAATGTAGTTAAAAATATTGATCAAGTGTTGACAACAATTAATGACATCAACCCATCGCAGCTCAATCTAAGACGTGAATAAAAAAGAGCGTTTCCTTATCGTGCATGCAAATGAATTACACCTCTTTATTAATGCATGCTTGCCGCATAAATTATATATTTTTTTATATTGCTTAGTTTAAAAGTTAATAAAAGGTACGTAGTGTCCAGTTTACTGCAAAATCAAAAAACGTCTAGATCACTATGATCAAATTTAAAAATTCAAAAAAATTATAAAAAATTAAAAAAAATTAAAAAAAATTAAAAAAAAATTAAAAAAATTAAAAAAAATAATTTAAAATCACAACGTCTAGACAAAAAAACTAAAATTAATTTCCGACAATAAATGTTGTACTTCAAAAGAAAAGTCTAGTAACTTCGTCTTTCGCAGTATATTCTTTGCATACTCGACAGAAAGAAATCATATCTTCTTCGTATAATGTTCCACAGTCTACACAAACCACATGTCCACAGTATAATGCGCACATCCCATTCTCCATTCCATGATTGCACCTAGAGCAAATCACAATCGTATCTTTATCTAAATCTGTGGTGAATCCTTCACGTGGTGATGGTGAACGTTCTTCTTCAGTTTGAGGACGTATCTGGCCGTATAACTGAATTCTTCGGCGAATTTCTGCTTGATTTGCCACGATACTTGGCTCTATATCGAGCTCCTCCTCATTATCATAATCGGGCTCCTCCTCATCTGAAATGTATATTATTTCAGTTTGTCCCTCATTTTCCTCGTCCTCTTCATCGTCATCCACGAGATCAATATAGATACGTTGTATCGCATTCTGGGTGACATTTTGAGAAGGTGAGTTATTGGAATTTTCAGGTTGAACTTGCTCCTCACTGTCACTCAGTTCAATTACTTCAACCTCCTCATCTGAAATGTATATTATTTCAATTTGTTCCTCATTTTCCTCGTTCTCTTCATTGTCATCCACGAGATCAATATAGACACGTTGTATCGCATTGTGGGTGACATTTTGAGAAGATGGATTATTGGGATTTTCAGGTTGAATTTGTTCCTGTTCACTGTCACTTAACTCAATCACCATAGGTGTTGATTCACTGTCACTTGACTCAATTACCGTAGGTGTCGATTCATTGTCACTTGACTCAATTACCGTAGGTGTTGATTCATTGTCACTTGACTCAATCACCGTAGGTGTTGATTCATTGTCACTTGACTCAATTACCGTAGGTATTGATTCATTACTATTAATCGACGTTTCGCCTGCTTCTTCAACACTGAAGCTAATTACGTCGCTCCGACCCGAATTTTTACGTGAAATTCTATCACCTCCGCCTCTACGACTGAAACGATTTCGTGCCACTCTAGTGTTGTTGTCTTGTATGCTTTGTGGCTGAATTCGCATACCGATTCTGCTGTCCTGAATTCTATAAGGTTGGGACATTTTCGCTTGTATGAAATCGTATATGATCGAAAGAAACCTATTTGGTGATCGTCCGGCAGTTCAAAGAAAAAATATAAAATGAAAACACTATATACAATGACGGGGGAGAAAGCGCGGCGAAGAGAAAGAGTAATAAGGTCTATGCACAGCAGAACCGATTATTAAGCAGTTATTCACTACAAACTACCACTACAAGCGCATAGGTGACGAATGAGGACTGGACAATTCTGTGGTCTCAACAAAAACGAGGTCGTTGATTTACCTGCGGTTTTTTATATATTTTTTTGATACTATTTACTACTAAGCTTAGTGATTCGTACCTTCGCTTTTGTTTGGTTGATTATGTCTCAGCGTAATAAACGATAGATAATAATAAATCTCCTTGTATTTTAGTGACGGGTGTTTTGAGAAAATATATGACGAGCAAATGTGATATGAGCTATCAAAAATGCGGGTTTATTTAATTAATTGTCAAATTGTAAGACTTTGATTTGATTTATGCTTTTCATCTCTATATATATGTTTTTTTTGCGGATGGCTATGCAACCCATACACACGAAAAAGTGTAAATCACGAAAGCTTTATGATTCTGATTACATGTACCATGCATTAAGCCAGCCCCCAAATAGCCAAGTTAACTTCACGAATATCGATAAAATATGTTGATTACAAACATATATATCATTAGTTATTTTTGAAACACATGTTGGTGATGATGATGATAGTGGTTTTTACCACACTCCAAAAAATGTAATATGTAATATCGACACATATTATTGGAAGATACGTGAGAAATCGATTTATTTTTATATAATTGGACAAGTGTATGCCAAGTTAACTTCACGAATATCTGATAAAAGTATGTTGATTACAAACACATATATCATTAGTTATTTTTGAAATGATGACATGTTGGTGATGATAATGATGATACGGTTTTACCACACTCCAAAAAATGTAATATGTAATATCGACACATATTATTGGAAGCTACGTGAGAAATCGATGTATTTTATATAATTGGACAAGTGTATGCGTGTATGGGTGCTTGCAATATTGCAATATCAAATATACACACGATAATTACTATTGTCACCTGAAAATTGCCGGTGACTGCATTTTGAGCTCGTAAATTACAATATATAATATAAATTGAAAACCACAGTACTCTCCTTAATACGCATACTTCAATTGACTCTGGGGTGGTGTCCAACGCAACAGTGCTTCATCTGATATTAACAAGATTTTTCAGCTTTGCACTTTATGCGCTGTCAAAACATTATTAAACGATAAGGTTAAAGTGCTCCAAGACTCTGCAACGTCTGCGGGTCAATTTTGGTTACACAGTCACACTCTTTATAGTGGATACAAAAAATCCAATGGTTTTCTACACTATAAAGAGTGTGACACAAAAAATAAATATCGTTTTATAGTGGATTTACTATTAGGTCACGTGATACACACTATAATGAACATCATATATGTAAAACGGTAATTATACGATCTTTTCAAAGTATTTAACGATGCTAGGCTGATTTTTAGACTCAATATTCTTTCTAATAATGAGATGCTTTAAACTATTTAACATCATAGTTTCGAAATCAATTCCTACTAAATCATTTGTTGTAAATATCTTACCACCTTCGTTACTTCTTCTAAAGCATCCGTTACCTTTACCAATGGTTTTAATTCTTCACTATTTTCCGGCTCTTGAGCCTCTTCATCATTTACAAACTTGTCAGAAATTTGTGGCATTTGGTCAATAAGATCTATGAGTTCACGTTTAGTTTTGTCGGCACCACCAGGAGTAAGATCAATTGCTAGTAATTCATCATTCCAAGTCATAAAAGGAGAAAGTACAGTATACCTGCACGATGCCAACTATTTTTTAATTGTAGCTTGAGTTACAGAGTTTCAGGCAGCAGAAGAAAAATCAATTACATCTCGAATTGTAAGTGAGCTAGGAGAGAGAGAGAGAGAGAGGTAGGATATTCAGGTGTAATAATTTCATAGGCTTCAATTCGGTTTTTGCATAAAATTCATTGATAATAAGCCTAGTAGTAAAATATAATGGTGAAAACTATACAGAATATAGCAGCAGCAAAATGTAATATCTTCAGGCTGTATATAATTCGCTGGTCAATTGGTTGCAGATAAGATGTTGTATTGGGAGGAAGAAAGTAAATTCGAATATTAGAAAGAGTTTCACGATTTTCTGTCTCATAACATTTGGCATTATCCATTAAAAGAGAATATGCTGGTTGGTTCTGCGTATTTTAGTATTAAGATGGTCAAGATAACGAGCAAAGATTGATCTTTACATTCAAGCCTTGTTATTCTAATAATACCAAATGGGAAGGGTATTTTTGTTAATTCCTTGAATGGCAACTGGTGTTTGAAACTTGTAAATGAATAAAGGCAATTTTTCTCCAGTTAAACTACGTGTCATCATAATGCTAACATGATTCTTGAGCTTTTTTTTCTAGCTACTGGTTCATGAAAATATTTTCCAAAGGATACCTATGAAGAATCTCTTGTAATTCTGTTTAGAATCATGGAATTTCTTCAACTAGTGCACTTGCTGATTCTTCTCTTCGTTTATATAAGCTAAGACTATTTCTTTTTTTGAATTTTATAAGCCACCATCAGAGATAGTAAAGTTTTTGATGTTAAGTCTTTTAACAAACCATTTTGCTTTTTCTTGAACTATATATCCTTGAAGAGTAAGCTTGTATGTAATGGCTTGATCAGCCAAATAATCATTACTTTTTTAATTTCAGGAAAGGTACTTTTTTGATCATGCTTGAATTTAGCAGCAATTGATTTTGATTCAAGATCTAGTTAATGTAAAGATCTTTTGAGAATTTTGGAGATAACTTGCTTACTAATTCCAAAATCTTCTGCTAGTTCTCAGCCTTTTATTGAGAAAAAGTCACATTTATTTCATATAGTTCTCTTTTTCTTAAAAAAAGAAACCATCTTGCATTATTATTTTTTTATTTTATAATTATATTTTTCATTTCTAGATATCTTATATCAGTCAAAGTAATATATTTATTACAGATTTCCTGGCTATTATTATCTTTAAATTATATTATTTCTACTCTTTTCTTTATTTTTTTGTAAAAAAGAAATTTTCTCAATCAGAGCTGAAATCTAATGCTAAAATCGACTAATAAAATTAGAAAATATAAATAAATTAGTTAATAAATTATGATTATATTATAAAAATATTCAATCTTATAATTAATTAAGCAGATTTCTTTATTATAAGATTTATTAAATAATTTTAATATAAATATATGATATAAAGCTAGTCTAATTAGAAGAAAAAAAATCTTTGACTTTTCTTTATAATAAGTCAAATCCACTATAGTAAAGATTTACTATAAAGAGTATAACTATATATTTCTATCTAAATTAAAATTTCTTCTTTATTTAAGTACAGATCAAATCAAAAACTTATAAAATTAAATCATTTATATTAGAAATACAGAATAATAATATTAAAGTATTAATAAAGCTTACTAATTATACTGAATATTAATATATTTTTTCATTATATTAAAAAATATATAATTAATAATACTTATAATTTTTATAATTAGCTAGTTTTTATTATTAATTAGTTTGATATAACATGGCATAAATAAATAAAAATATATGACTAATATTAATTTTCATAATAAAAAATATTATTTAGCTTAGTAAATTTATATTATTTTTTTTGCTATTATTTCATTACAAGAAAAAAAGCTTATATAAAATAGTAAATAAAAATTCTTTTTTTATATGAAGAGTTCTAATAGTAATCAAAAGTATTTAATCCTCTATAACTTTTTAAATTGAAAAATATAATATAAATCTAAATTTTATAAGTTTTTTAATAAATTTTAATTATTATAATAAAATTTAAATAAGAACTGAATTTTAAAATTAATTTTTATATTAATAACAAAATATTAATTAAATATAATAAAAAATAATTATATTAATTATTTTTAAATTAAAATTTTTTAAAATTTAATTTATTAGATTTAAGTATTTTTATATTAATAATAAAAAATTTAATATAATTTAATAAGAAAAATATTAAGAAATTAAAATTAAAATTTATTAAATTTTATTATATATATATATAAAAAAATAATTTAATATCAAAATTTAAAATTTAATTTTTAATAATTGATTTATTGAATTATATTAAATTTTTGTTATTATATATAATATAAATATATAAATTTTAATATAATAATTTTAATTATTTTAATTATTTTAAAAAGTTTAAATCAAAAAATTTTTAGTATAAAAAATTATAAGAGATTAACTATTTTTAATTGTTATTATAAAAAACTAAAAGATAAAAAAAAGCTTTATTCTAGAAAATAATATGATATTATTATTATTAATATTATATTATAATAATTATCTAGTTATAAATAATATAAAATAAAATTTTTTAATTATTATAAATAGAACTTTTTATTAAAACTTGATTATATTTACTTTTTTTATTACTAAAAAATATATATTAAAGAAAATAATTTCAAGCTCAAAAGTTTTATAGTTAAAAAGCATGAATATTTATTATTACAAAATAAATAAGATATTATTTTATTAAATTATTTATTTAAATTTTTATAACTAAAATTATACTATCTTTAATAGTATATAAGATAACAGATAAATAAAAGCATATTATAATTATAATGAAATTATGAATTAAATAATATTTTTTTTCTAGTTTTCTTTCAAAAGATATTTAAATATTTTTTAAAATATAATTTATAATATATATTATAAATAATAATAATACTTATAAAATTAAAAATAAAAAAAAGAAATAAAGTATAAAATTTATTTATTAAAATAAAATTAACTTTTCTTTTAATAAGGTAAATATGGGTATTATGATGAAGTTAACAGTCTCTATTAATAAAAGTCTATGAAAAAAAATAATTTTGTTATAATTTTTATAATTTATATACAATTTAACTCGC